TGGGGTAATTTCCCTCTGATCATCTGGTGCTCTCGAATACCTGCTGTTGCTGCTTTGTGATTTCTCCATAGGTTAAATATTAGAACAGAAATAAGCAGATTTCAAATCTTGCTCGAGTGTGCAGAAGTTTGTGAGGCCACAAGAACTCATTAATTACAAAATCAAGAAAGTGATTAATCTTTCCAGATTTGCCATGCCAATATTGGTGACAGCCATTAAGATAGACAGCTGGTCCCCACTCCAGTTGGAGCTTTCTTTGTGGGAAGTTGAGGCCTGCAGGGAAAGCTGTGCTATGAATCTTGACAATCCCTGTTTCTCCAGTAATATGTGATGTGCCAAACTGAGAGTCACTTGAGAATTTTAATCAATGGCATTGCTTTTGAGCTTTAGAATTCAAGGCAGCTCATTCAAATGAAACTGCTTTCTGAATATCATTCTTCCTATGATGTAGCCATCTGAATTTTTAATTTTTTGTGGAAAATATTACCAAGATACCAAGAGTAATTTCATAGTTTGTGGGCCTCTTCCAAAATGGTACATGTTGACTGACTAATCTGGAAAAGGTTAACTGTAAGATTTTTTTTTAACCTGAAAATTTTTATTGGATTATTAAACTTATTTGGAGTCCTCTCCGTTTCTTTTCTCTGTAGGTTTACCCAAGAGAATGGTTCTGTTACCCGTTATGAAATTCCCAACATATCCTGTTCCCCACTACTCATTCTTTTAGCAAATGACAGAAGCTAATTCCAATTGAACAACAATACAGTACATAAGAATGTTAGAGAAAAAGCCTTTTTATCCTGCTTTCTTTGAACACATACTTGATCAAAGTTATTTGTAAAGAACATCTTTCCTACTTTTTGATTTTAACAAATGCAAATTTAGTTCTCTAAAACTTGAAAACAAACAAAAAAAAAGAAACTAGTTCTGTGAAACGGTACCTCATTTCCGGAAAATAACTTATACCAGCCCTTCTGTTCTAAGGAAATAAATCTAGCAGTTCAGAGTTTATGAGGAGTATCAGATTATGTAAAATTAAATTTGTGAAGGATGTATAGAGTCAAACACTGATCACAAATAAACTGCTTTGTTGTAACACAGAGTACTGCCTGGTTCCTGATGCAGTCACTGATGCTAAGCTGATTGATATGTATCTGCCCCAGGGCACTTTAATTCGGGCTGTAGTTATTTTTTTTAATACAATAGAGACTTTTCATTTAAACCTTAACTTTGTAAATATTGAAGTGTATAATTAAAGCCAATAAAATATGGGTTTGAATATTGTTTTAGCTTATTATTTTTGATATGTTTTGGTATCAAATTATAAAGAATTGAAAACTAATAATAACTTAGCCCTAGAAACCCATTCATTTGTAAGCAAACTGCTAAAACAAAGTAAAGGCGATTGTTAGTCTGAGTCAGTCTACTTCCTTTGTAAGCCCTCTGCACTCCTGCTGTCCGAGGGCATCCCCGTGATAAAGGTATATTCTGTTGTCCAAGCATTGCTTATTCAGATGATGGCACTATCCAGAGATGGGGAAGGAGGAATGTGATTATTTTAGTTTCCGAATTTCCAAGTTTTAAAAAAAATAATAAATTAATCAATCAATCACCCTCTCTTGTTCTTGTGGCCTTCTTCACTCTGTAAGATACTGTGTTCACTCCCTGGCTTTTTTCATGTAGACAGAAGATTAGTGATTTTTCTGGGATTCATTGAAGGGTCTCTTATCCTCTTCAATTACATCAGAATCTAAAGCAGCAACAGGGTCCCCATAAAAACTTGCTCTTCGATTGTCCCGGTTCTTGTTGAGTGCTGCTGTGAAAAGTGACAGGTTTCAGCCATGGGTCAGCATTTATTTTTAAGACACCTGATGAAGCTGGTGAAAAGTGATCAGTCGGTAACATTGTGCTGTTCTGTGAAGGGTGCAGACCTAAGTCTCCCACGTGCATTCTCACCTTGTTTGGAAAGCCGATGATGTTACTAGAAGGTAATGGTTTCATTACGGTACTCACCCCCATGAGGGCAGCAGTGCGGTCCCAGGTCGATATTTACGAGTTGCTGTGTCTAAAAAATGTCCATTTTTAGTATGAATTAGCTTTCCTCTTTTTTCAATTCTGTTTTTTGGAGCTGAACAGTGCCCATTGTTGAGAATGGGCTTCACAAAACACAGCAAACTGATGTACCAGATTTCTGTGGGACCGCCAAATGAGGACGAAATGGGCAATTTAAAACAAATGTTAGTGTTACTTCTCAGATACATGTATTTTGCACAATGGCTTGTTCGTTACTCCTGCTCCTTGACCTTTTGTCTTTATCAGTGGTGGGTGATACTTTAATAAAACCTCATCACTTGCTGGAAGTAGCTGTGAACTTACCATTCTCATTCTGTGTATTAGTGGCTAGACGTACATAAGAGGGCCCCATCTCAGCTGGGAGTTTTCATGTCTCATTGACTTGTTTTGCTGACCTATGGATGAAACAGAGCCATCACTGAGAAGAAAAAGCATGGCTGGTAGTGCCCAGTTTTTATTAATTAAATATTTACAACAGCCCTCTATGTTTTTGGAATACTATTAATTGGCAGCTGCAGCTGTATTGTTATTTGAAATTGTCAAATTTGCATTCCAAGTTGGAATCTCTCTGGAGATTTCTCTTTAGAAAATTCTTCTGAAGTAGCTGACTCAGTGTCATAACTCAACCCCTCTATAATGGCGACAAGGGAGCTGTGCTGTTTTCCAACATGATGGCAGTCATTTCAAATGGTTTCTACCAAGTCTTTTTTTTTTTTCTTTTTAATTTTGTTGTTTGTTGGAAGTTACTAACCATGTTGTAAACCTGCCCAGTTGCTGCAAACTTTTACATTTCTCTGCTTTACTTAAAATAATTGAGCTGTCAGTCCTTTGTTAGAAGTGGTAACCATGCAAGTTGAACTGTTTAAATTTTGTAATGAATTAAGTGTCCCCCTCCCCCCTTTGCCCTTCCCACCCCTCCATTTTGTAATGAAAATTCCACTTACAGCTGAAAGGGCAGAGAAATATAAATGAAGCTTTTGGCTTCACCAAATTCTCTGAAATTAACACAGAGTTTTGCTTCTCTGCTCTTTTCTCCACTGTAGGTGGTTTTTTCATTGACAGCCCCTATTGCCAGCCTCTGAGCGTCGCACCATTTATTATTCACTTGGGCCCTCAAGATTTCTTCTCTGACTTCTAGAACCATCAGGTTGTCTGGCTTGAATGGCAATTTCTATGTCGTGGTCTTAAGAGCAATGTGACCCCCTGAGGCTTTCCAGCTTTCAGACACAGCACTCTGACACCTTCTTTTGGAAAGCAGTGACTGAGCATTTTAAAGAAGAGCAATACTTTACTCAAAGCCACGGTGTCTGTTTTAAAACTTTTCCTTTGGAAACCTAGCAATATCTGTACTTAACCCCTCCTAGCATAGTCTCTTGTCAGGGAGTTTACAGACCAGTGTAGAACTTAGTGTGTGAGCTGTGCTATATCTTCTGGCAGTTTTTTACCTTTTTTAGCACATAAATTGAATAGTTGCATTCCTGACTGCATCAGTTAGTGCTATTATAATTCCTCAGAGATAGGGGTCCTCCCTGAAGCCATATTCTTTGCATGGGGGCTGGCACCCAGCCAGGGATGTGGCCCGCAGCCCGTGTTCCTTCCGGCTGCGGGAGCACCCCATCTCTTCTGCAAGGTAATTGGTCCAGCAGGTTCCCAACATACCTCACGCTGACTAGATGCAGCGCACGTGCGGTGAAGCGAGCAGTCCTGCAGTCGTCTGTAGTCTCTCGCAAATTGTTGACCTGGGGAACAAACCACTGATAGATTCTGTTTTTCTTCTTTTGTTAAATTTTGGGTGAATGTTTGAAAATCATGAATCAGTCACCGTTATTAATTGAAGAGCTGGGAATACCTCGTTAATGTATTTTTAAAACTGGTGTTGGACCCTCTGTGTATTTCAGGTTAATACTTTTAAGCAGTTTTCAGCACGTTTATCTCACTTTATTCTCGTTCTCCTCGGACCTTCGTAGCCATATCACTTGTATAAAGTAGGCTGAGATATAGTGACTGTAAGCCGTGGTCTCGGTATACAAAGGTAAGCTCTTTTATTTTCTGATTAAAGAAAATTAAAACTCAATGAACACAACATGCATATATGACAATCATATATGATGTATTTGATCTAGGACTTATGTCATGTTACTTTAAAAAATTTTTATGATCTAAATGTAAAATAGTTATTTTCAGCATTTGTTTTAATACCCTTGTAATTACTTTCTACTTGAGACATTTCACTTTTGCTGAGTTAAGTGTGTGTATGTGCAAAAACTTATGACACATGTGAATTACACACACGTATCTGTTTAAATAAAAGAATTTGATGGTGGGAAGTGTTCACCCAAGAGGATTTTCACGTCAGGGCACTCTTTTGGCCAAAGTGCTGGAATTTCATAAGCAGCAAGATTGGTAACAGTGCCGGTGGGTCCATTTATGTAGCTGTTACCTAAGCTGGGGATCAAAGTGCCAATTTCTCAAGGAGAGAAACTTCTTTGAGAAATGAATATCTCTGATCTGTGTTGTATGTCCTAATACAACAGCAGCAAGAAGCCATAAAAAAAAAAGCAATAGAAAATGAAAAAAACCAAAATATTAAGGTAACTATGGAAAAATACATAATTGACTGAGTTAAGCTAAGTATTTGCAGAACCACTTTTGGCAAGAGTCAGAATGGTAAATACCCAGTCTGCAGAGACCAAACAGACGTAAGGCAATTTGTTTGTCTTTTCCAGGTTAGGTAGATGACTTATTTCCCACCTGATTCAACCATCATGGAGTTCATGTAAAAGATACGAGGGTTAGGCCAAATACTTTAATAAGGATTTGCTTTGTTTAGTGTGTCCCATAAGTGTATTTCGTATGTTAGATGTTCTGTGCTAAGGTTGTATTTGATACACACACACACACACACACACACACACACACACACACACACACAGATTAAAATGAATTTTGTTTCATATGCCTCTAAGTAGCAGTTTTCTTTTTATTATTAACTTTGAAGGTTGCTGAAACAACTTTTTCCCATACAGAATCTGTATGTATGTCGAATGTGGCTTTGGCATCTATAAAAGGTTGTATGAGGTCTAGCTGACTAGTACCAAGTACATCCCAGTCCTGATCAAACAACCGAGTGCCCCTTACGTGCCAGGTTCTTCTCTGGATACAAGTAAAACAGGCCGGGGAGAGTCTCCTTGTTAGTGGCATTGGGCCTAATGTAAATTTCCTAGGTTGGGAGACAAATAATTGTATTAGCAATGTCAAAAGATAATTAGCTTAGTTTAATAGTTTATTTATAAATTATGTAATAATATGGGTCCTCTGCCATCACTGAGATGGACATCATTTGGAAATTCACTCATTTTATATATTTCCCTGGCAGTTTTGAGAGCCCAAAACAAACTCTGGCTTATGTTCATGGACCTCTGCTCAAGTAAGTGAACTGAATGAAATGAGTAACAAATACCCCAGTTTGTATAGTACAGCAAAGAGCAGGAGTGGTTAAATACCTTATTTTTTGATGATCAATGAGGGGAATTTTACCCTTATAATCAGTCATTCATTATAACTTCCCTGTTCCTTGGATTTCATTAATAATGGCAGTGGAGGTACATCTTCACTAGTGAGTGAGGGGGGGAACTAGGGATACCCCACCACACACAGTTACATTTCTAACAACTAGAGCCCTAAAAGTCAGGGGCATTAAGAGCAGTTAAAGCTGAAAACCACCTGCTCTGTGAATGGTCTTTCTGTAAGTCCTGTTCAGCATGTGCCAGCGCCTCCCTGGTGCCGGTGCCAGGGTGGGGCCGGTCCCTCTGAAGTCCTCTGCAACAAGAAAGGTTCTGTTGTGTTCAGACTCACTCTGTAACCACCTGAGGCTCTGCCCTCCAGTGACCGCAGATTTCTCAGTGTTAACTAGGAGGCCTGGAAGGGGGAAAGGGGCGGGGGTGGGGGTAACAAACAATCACCTGCAGAGCCAGGAAACTCTCTACACACCATCAGTGTTGATATGTTTCTCTAGCAGCTGTTTACAGAACACAAGAGCTGGTACTTGTTATGTAAGTCCCTTCCTTTCCTAATAGCATCTTCCAGAAAGACTGTTCTAAGTCAAGAATTGAAGTTGAGTTACTTGTAAGAATAGATATCCTTTCCCACATTATTATTTTAGGTAAGAGCCAACAGCTTCCATTGATGCTTGAAGCAGTGATCTTTGGAGATTTTTAAAAATAACTCCATAATGCAAATTAGGTTATGTAAGCTTTACAGCACAGCTAGAAATAGAGAACAGAAACCATGTGGGAATCTGGGCCAGAGTATTTCTCTCCATCCAGCAAATTCCTGTGGGCCCTGGGAATTGAGTGAGTTAATACACAGAGTGCTTTGACTAGTACCTGGTACACAGTAGGTACTCAGTAAATGCTGACTATTCTTACCATGGTTGGCTGAGGTGACAAAATTCACGTTGGGGGAGGCAAGGCTGTGCTGGCAGGTAGTTGAGAAGCAGATGTGTGGCCTGCTTGTGGGGAGCTGTGTTGGTTCCCTAATGTTGACAGGTTTGGGGTGCCCCAGGCTTTGGAAGAGGACTCCTGCATCTGGGGGTCAGACAGGAAACAAAGCAAACATTTGGCTAGAGCTGACATGGGAGGTTGCTGCAGACCTGTGCTGCATGAAGATGCTCGTGATTCTGCTGTGGTAGTTTAACTGGTGGACAGTCTGCTGCCAGGGGTTCATAATACTTGCTTTGGAATTTAACTGTGCTTAGAACTGCAAAGAGGCCAAGCTTAGAATATCAAGCTACTGATTCTAAGTTTCCTACCAGTGCATCAGTTAAAAAATATATATATATATACATTTGATTACAGCCAGCCCTAGAACCTGACATTCAGAGCTCACCAGTATCTGGCAGGTAGAAAGCAAGTTACAAACCACAGAAAAGAGAGAGACCGGGTGGTATGCTTAGAAGGCTCCTGACTCAGATGCTTCTCTGTTTGCTGCAACACTTGGGGAAAAAATTTTTTTTATCCCCACATAAGGTCTCCATTCTGTCTGTTAATCTTAGGAAAAAAAGTATCTGTCTGTCCATTCATCCATCTTTTCTCTTTGTCCATCTATCCATTTATCTGTCTAGACACAGTTGGGAAGTTGCTTTTCAGCAAAAGGAAAAGTGAGATGGTTGAAGTCAGTAAGGGGTAAGCGTCGTACTGTCCGTCTCTGGCTCACACTGTGTGGTCCTCAGGAGCCTCTGAAGGTGTGCAGCTGGCAGGAGGTGAGCTGAGTGGGGATACGGATTGTGACCTCTGATGTGCTGAGGTTATAAAAACTGTGTAGACAAGGAGTGAGTGTTACCTTTAAAGGCAAATAAGGTAGATTTCTATTATAGTCAAGAGGCTTTTCTGAAATCCAAGAGAGATTTTTGTAAGCCATGTCGTGGCAGAAGTGACCCCATTCCTCCCTCAGCTGTGGCTGTTTAGTAAAATCCTTCTCATTAACCGAGGCTGAGGGAAGACCTCGTTTTATATTTTTCTTTTTGTCTCGACCAATCAGTTAACATTTTAATCACGTGGTCTTTCTAAGGAGGGTCTTGGGGCCTTTCTTGGAAAACCTTTGCTATTTCTGCAAACTGTGCTGCCTCTGCTGATAGGTAGCATGGAGACTGCCACCATCTGCCCAGGCAGCTTAGAGTCACATTAGCATACCCCAGCTGGAGCTAGGTGGGCCTGAGTCATCTTTTTGGCTGCTTACGGCCCCCAGGAGGTAATGGGATTAGCCTGCTGCTGTGAGGACACCCTCTTTGCACTGCCTAGAAGGCAGTCTCTGCTGTTTCAGTTTCTTCTACCTTGATCCTTTTATGTGGTTTGGAAGAACGTCTGCATTCAGACATCAGCTAAGTGTCCATGGTAGTTAAGAGTGACCCTCAGTTTAGGTCATTCTGAGCTGTGGCAGCAGTAGACTGAAGAAGCAGGAATGGAATAGAGAGAAGAAAGGTCCTAAATGGGTGTCTTGTGTGTGCCAGGCACTTGACATTCTTACTTCTCAGCCTTCTTGGAGGTGGTATTCTCCCTATTTTAGATAGAGAAAGCTGAGGTCCAGAGAGTTAAGGGAGTTGAGAATGAAACCCAGCTGTTTCTGGGTTTTCCTGCGATGCGGCGCTGTGGCCTGAGTCTGGAGAGAGGGTGAGGTGGTGCAGCGGGCGGCAGGGAGGCGGCGTGCAGGTGGTGAGGCGAGGCCTGGATACCAGCCGGCGGCCTGACTGTCACAGGATCTTTTGAGCTCACAGACTCAAGCCAATCCTAGGTTCTTTTGCTGGAATCTAGGCCTTCTGACTTGAGGTCATTTTAGACCAGATATCCTGGCCTAAAATAGGGCTGTTCTCTTCTAGAGCGTTTGGAAAAGATGAACAAACTGGGAAGGTGGACTGGGAGACCAGGATGTGGCTGTATAAACAGAGGCAGTTTTTGTATTTGAAGCTTGTTTTTCCGTTTGAACATCACTGAGAAATCGAGGTGTGTGTTTTCAGTTAGCTAAGGCTTAAGTACATGCTCTCTGGCCTGAGACTGGGGATGTCTTCAAAGATTTGAGCAAGACTGAAGGAAAGCTGGAAGGCTTTGGCTCACTGGGTAGAAGGAAGGGGGCAGCCCAGGTTCGGGTGCAAGTGCTGAGCAGAGACGGGTGTGGGGCAGATTGCAGCGGCCTGCTCTGCTTGCCAGGAGTGTGCCCTGGACTCGGCTTCAGGGGAGGCTGCCAGCCTGGGACTAGCAGGCTTCCTCAGCTCTGCCGGGTCCTCCGCTGGTCAGTCCCGGCTGGGTCTCTACGTCGGGTTAGGTGGGGGTGGGGGTGGGGATGGACGCACAATCTTCAGGGGAAGATATTCCTCCCTAACCCCAAGTCGTCATCATCCTTGGCAACCTGCCATTTTTCCTTAGCGACCTGCTGTAATCCTGGAGGGGAACAGGAGGAGGGACCCTTCTCCTAAAGACGGGTAGTGTAAGTTCCCGAGCAGTGGCTTGTGCATGAGGGAGAGGGGTGCCTGCGCGTGCTGGGCACACCAGCAGAGCCCTTGCCCGGCCAGCACCACGTTCCCTGCTCCAATGGCCCCATTTGGAGAACAGCAACGCAGGAGTGGTTCCCACTCCATGGACAAGAAAATTGAAGCCCAGAGACCTCTCCAAACCACCCAGCTGATTTGTGGCAAAACACTGTGGCTCCTAATGAGTAAGTTTTTAACCACACAGAAGAAATTGCATTCTAACAGAAGCTCTTTCTTAGGGATGAGATTTGAACTCCACCACAACTGTGGGAATCTAGAAATTTTACAGATGAGGAAATAGAGGCTTGAACGAAATGACTTGCCCAAAATTACACAGCTCGTATGTGGCTGAGCCCCCCCGCCACCTTGTTCTGAGAGCGCTGCGCTCACCAGTAGAGGCTTGTGTTCAGTCTGGACTTGCTGCCTGTCCTGTTTTCCAAAACTGGCAACAGTTTCCCCTCCTCTTTATGGTGCATTCTACTTACCTTTCTTCTAGACTTCTGGGATATATCCTGTGTAGTCTGAAACAAAACATACAACCAACCTGTCTCTCCCCCCTACTCCCACTGAGGGAAGAAGAAGAAACGAGACTTCAGGCTCATTCTGTTCTTTTCTGGCTCCTTTAGAAGAACTGTTAGCTGGCTCCAGGGCCAGGTGACTTGGGTTGGGATGCCTGTTTTTATTTTATTTTTTCCCCTCCAGCTGCACAGGTGGGTCTGTTCCCACAGACCACCTTTCTGTACTATAACTGAACTGTGTGATAAAGTGCAAACTAGTAGTTGCTGGTGGACAGGTCCTCGGGTGGTGGGGAGGCAGGGCAGGGATGTGCTGCTGGAAGCGGGCTTCTTTGCACCGAGCCTCATCCACGTTCTGGTTGGAGGCTGTCGTCTGTTCCTGGCGAGGCCTTCATTATGTGCTCTAACCAGAGGGGTTGCCCTCCCAGTCACACGCCTCCCGGAGCACTGCTGCTAGGGGCTCGGCGGACCCGTCGTCACGTAGATGGCCTCAGCAGTTGCTCAGCTTTCGAACATCCTTCACGCCCTTGGAGGCTCCATGAAGGGAAATAAGGTGGACATCGTCTGGGAGGGACCACTCCTTCCACATACATCATCTGGAAGGTGCTGCCTGGGCAACTCGGAAAAGCTGGAAGTACTTCAAAACGAGATGGGTTGAAGCTGGGGAAGGGGAGAGCTGGAGAGATCACGACCTTTCCCTCTGCTATTCTGAAGGGTTATATTTACTTGTACGCGGTTCCAGAAGGGAAAAGATAGTTATAGTACAGCAAGTTGGGCAGCTTGAGCTAAAGTGTGCCTCTCTTGAGGAACTGGGCTGCCTTCATGGAGCAGGTGTGGTGAGAAGTGAGCCCCACGTTACCGAGAGTGTTCAAGCAAGAAGCCAGCTGTTAGCAGACTGCAGAGGAAATTCTACCATGGAACGTTGGTTCACACAAAACACTTATGATTGGTGACACTGCCAAGACCACGTCTCTCATGTTGGTCACATGGATTTCTTGAAACATTCACCTTCACCTACGTTAACGTTAACCAGGTTCTCTGCTGGGGGAGAATAAGCAGCTGAAAACGTCAGGATTTCCAGCTTAGGCGACCGAGTAGAAGGGAAGGTGAAACCACTGACCAAGAAGGAGCACATAGGAAAGGGACGGGATGCTCGGGCCTTGAACAGAACCAGAAAGCCCACCTCCTGTGCTGAGGTCTCCCATTCAGTCCAGGAGAGGAGCCGGCCCTGTGAAGAGACTGGCGTGCGAGAGAAGACTTAGAACTGAGTGACTCAGTTACAGGGGCTCCGATGGACGTGGCCAAGGCTTCCTGTTGAAACTGGCACCATAGCTGGTAGGAGTTTGCCCAGCAGGGTGGTCAGATTTCAAGGGGGAGTGTGG